AATCATGGGGCACTTGAATGTTCCTCTACTTCTGCTTCCCGAATAGATTCCATGCGCTTCTTGGGGGCTTGGTGAAGCATGGAGTTCGTAAGACCCTAAACCCTAAACCTTAAACCCTAAACCCTAAACCCTAAACCCTAATTAAACCCTAAACCCTAAACCTTGGGACCAGGAGTGAAGGTCTTCATGTCTAGGAGGTGTAGAGCCCTAAACCCGAAGCTCTAAACCTCGGAGCTTTAGCGCCTTATTCCCGGGTTGCCGGGATCCCGAAGAAATCCCTTGAGAGCCCCCGAAGTTTCAGGCTTTGGGACGAAAACCCCCCCTAAGCAAGGGTTTAGGGTTTAGGGAACATCGAGGTGGGCGACGTCTCTTGGAATAAGGGACCTAAACCCTAAACCCTAAACCCTAAACCCTAAACCCTAAACCCGAACATGGAACATGGCCAACCGCAACCAGGAGTTGTTTGAATCAGTGTCCTCCGTGGCAGGGGATGTCGGATTCCCTGTGGCCCTTGGGACATGTGTTTTTTTGCTTATAAAACAAAAAATGCATGAATAGATAGATATATATATATACAAGCAGAAAAGTACATATATAGATATATGTATATCTCCTTCCATCCATTGGGATTAAGAGGGTCATGTTTGGGATTTGAACTCTTATGGGTCCAAAGGGCCAGCCTAGCAGCAAAAATCCTCGTGCCCGTTTCTCCCCGCGCAGGCGCGAGCACCTCGCCGTCGGTATCGAGGCAGCAGCCTGCAGCGGATCAATTTTACTCCACCTTGGGCCAGTGTACCTTAAGGGACGTTCCCCCTTATACGAACTTAATAGGGACTACCACTTTGGGATGTTCCCCCTTATACTAACAGTCCTTAGTTAGGAGGGATATTATAACCTCGCGAAATTTAGCACGTGCTGCAGGTCACCTTTGACCAGACCTTGGCCACCCTAGCAAAGAGTGAGCTTCTGGCCAGGGCATGCGGGGCTGCCCAGCATGCCCGAACTATGGTTTGGGGTTTGGGGTTTGGGGTTTAGGGTTTCGGGATACGATGCGGCATTTCATTGTGCACGTTGCTAGCTGCCACTTGTCAAGCTGTAGTGTTCGAGAGAAGAGCAGATTCTGATCTTCTCCAAGGGCACGACAACCGTAACTCAAGCCCGTCAGAGCGTGCTTGCCGAGAGCAGGAGGTGGAGGGACGAAGACTCAGCTAATTCACCAACCTGAACTCCAGACCTCGACCCAAGCGCCCCCCCCCCTCTCCCCTATGTCTTTTTCTGATCCCCAAAGCCCCAAAAAGCCCAAAACCCCAAAGCCCCACAACCCCCCAAAACCCAAAGCTTAACAAGCCCCATGGCGCTACTTTTCGGACTTTTGCCTAAGCTGGGACAACAAGAAGTGATACTGGTGGCGCTCACAAGAGCTAAAACCCCAAACCTTCAACCCTGACCTCCCTTCAGGTCATGTAAGACGCACGTGTATATATTTATATATACGTGTGCGTGTATGTATTTATATTTATCGTATATTAACATATGAATATAGTGAATTTAGGGTTTTTAGGGTTTAGGGTTTTTAGGGTTTAGGGTTTTTAGGGTTTAGGTCCTACAGAGAATCGAGGTCTCGAGGCCACCGTCCCGGGCCTCGCCACGGTGCTGCTCCTCGTCCGGGCATGGGCTCAGAGGCGCCTTTGCTCCATTGGTGCTCCGTGCTTTTGGAGGGTTTAGGGTTTAGGGCTTAGGGCTTAGGGTTTATGGTTTAGGGTTTAGGTTTTAGGGATTAGGGATTGTGGGGCTTAGGGCTTAGGTTTAGGGTTTAGGGATTAGGGATTTTGGGGCTTAGGGCTTAGGGTTTCTTGAGGACGTGCCGAATGGACGTGAATTTGAGGGTCTGTAGAATTGCTAGTCGTTGTATGTGTGCCAGCTGACCTCAGGAGTCTGGGTTCAAAAACGGGTTTAGGGGATTTTGGGGAACTGGGGTTCCGCTGTTTGGTAGCTTTTAGCTTGGGGTTTAGGAATGGTGGCGTTGAGGAGCTCAAGACTGACGGGTTTACTTGAGGGCCTGTTGGGCTTCTTGGTTAATTAAGGAAATCAATATTACGAAGCGGCATGCTGGGTAAATAGGGGCAGAACGCGGAACAGCATTCGTTTCAGACTTCTGAGCAGTCCGTAGAGTTAATGCATTCGGATTCCTGGAGCTGAAGTCCCTCAAGAACATATCGTCAATCGAGCTCGTTTTTGCAGCTCCAAGCTCCCTGACGCCTGAAGCCCTTCCAAAACATGTGTGAGCTGCGGAGGTTCTTCAACATTAGACATGTAAAGTGGACCCTAAACCCGAAACCCTAAGCCCGCAACCCGGAACCCTAAGCACAAATCATCCCTACCTAAACCACCATTAAAACACAGCTGCCCATGCTCTGGGTGTGCCAGCCCTGGACTCAGGCGGCGGATCTGCGGACAGAGACAAGGCCCGTAGAGTCAAAGAGCGTGGCGGGCTTTAACATGCTTTTGCTGTGCACGACCTCTGCACCGAAACTCCATGCCTGCTGTGTGTGTGTGTGTGTGTGTGTGTGTTTTGTTTCTTTTTTTTCCGGTACTCTTTGTGGTTTATGTAGTGTGCTGCACTCAGTCGGCGCCCTTGCACGGAGAAAGTTTTTCTTGCCGGGCCTTGCCTGTTGCATCGCGGTCTGCGCCACATCATCACAGACCAGTTTTCCATACTGGCTTCGTCTACGGAAGCAGCAGCAAACAGTAGACATCAGTAGACAGGAATTCCCACCCTGTCCTCTTTGCATCCTCCTGGGCGGCCCTCATGGGCACTGCTACTCTGCCAGGGCGGTAGCAGGCTCTGGTGTGCCGGAAGAGCTATCTCTGCATCTAGGGCCGTCCGCCGACTGTGTACAGTCGTCTGCAGACGGCGGGTTCGCGTGGCAAATGTAGCAGACCCACGAAATCCACGAACCTCATGGATGCTCTGCCTGCCCGCCTGCCGCGCGGCTGCCGAGGCTTGCTCCAGCCCCCAGGCGACGAGGACGACTCATCGTCCCTCGCCTATCGTCGCTCCACGGCGAGACTCCGAGGAGGAATCGTGTTCCTCCCCGTCCGTGCGACGGACGTCGGCATGGTAAAGGCGGTCAAGTGAGTCAAAGGGCGCCTTGGTACTTCCTTGGCAGTAGAGACCTATCCCGATCTCATGGCACCTATCGAGCGCAGTGTAGGACCAGCCTAGGGGCTGCATGACCGACGTTCCCCGCGGTCTTGGGAGTCCTTCTCAGTCCGAACCCTCTTCTCCTCAGCGAGGGCGCCTTTGATAGCACGGCCTGAAAGGCCTTCGGATCCGCCTGGCTGGAGCTGGATCGTCTCGGCGCCGAATGTTGAAGACCGTCATGAGACGAGGCCGCCGCCGACGAGGAATAAGCAATGCCGGCACTACCTGCGCGTGGCGGGGTTCGCTAGCGCTGTGCAGACTCCTTCGTCTCCTGAGGACGGCTGGCTCCACGAGACCGTGCACCGGGGCCTTCGCTCAGCCTGGTCAGCTGCAGCGCTCCCCTTTGCCTGTTGGCGGCGGCGTAGAAGCCCGGTCTTAGGGGCCTCATGTGCAAGGACTGCAAAGATTTTCTGGTCGTGCAGTTTGAGCCTGACATGCTATGATACATCATGATACCCATGCCTAATGCACGGCACTCTTGCAGAGCAGGAGCAGATCATGGTCTCATGTTCTGATGCTGCTCATATGTGTTGATTGTATCATGATGCATGGTGATCATTATGGCCCAAGAAAGCACGACTGCCTGCAATTTGGTTGAAATACCAGGCTTGGTCTGTCAGATGGGGCAGACGCCTTGGGCAGATGGGCCTCTACTTGATGCTGCGATCGCACGGTCCTTGGTGGCTTCCGTTTTTCTGGGCATTCTTGCGGTGCACTGGTTTTTCGCCTTGAGCAGCAAGTCCTCGAACTTTCAACGGAAGACCCAGCAGACTAGCACGCAGATTCGCGAAGAGCAGATCGACAAGCTGGGTGTTCAAGAGGTGGACAATATCTTGGCCAGATCGTGGTTCACTGCCTGCAGATCCTTTTTTGCTCACGCTCAGCTAGGGCCGATCTGCTGCGAGATGTGTAAAGCTTGGCAAAGCTTTGACTTAGCCCCCGCAATGTGGCTTGTGGGTCTCTGCTCAGGCTATGTCATTTATTTGCTTGTTGCCAATGAAGCCGTGCCAGCAACATCGAAAATGGCTAGGCTCACCTGCGGCATGATCCATGCTTCTGTTTTTTTCGGCTTCCTTGGTGCAGTTCTGTCAGACAAAGCAGACACGGACGACTTCGTTGCGCAAAGAGAGATGATCGCCCGAGGTCAGCTGATTTTGGCCGTTGTGTTTCCGGATCGTGATTTTTTGTTGGTGATGTCAGGTTTTTGGTTTGCAGCAAACGTTGGGACGACTGTTTGGACGTGCGGCTTTGATGGCTTGACTGTCTGGTTCTGGACCACCCAAGCTTTCCACCTTAGCATCACTTGCCTTGCCATTCCCATCACGATCCTAAACATCCATCGGGACCGCATGGAAGCCTTCATTCAAGCAGAGGACTCTGGTGCGTTGGTGTCAGCCTTTCAGTGCATGCTGAGGGGTGTCTGTGATGGCAACGTGATACTTGATGGCAGCACCCACATATGTGGGGCCTCCAATTTCCTCCCGCGCCTCTTGCGCACCCAGGAAGACTTGACTGGAAGAAAGTTTTCTGACTTCATCACTGAGGAGAAGGGCTACGGCTACACCAGGCTCGAGGACTTCCTGGCAGAATCTACAGCTGATGGAGTCAATGATTACGCCACGCCCCGATGCTTGCGGGTCACAATGAAGGGAGATAGGGGCAGACAAATTCCGGTGGATGTTTTCCACGTCGTGCTGCCGAAGCGCTTGTCCAGACTTGGCGACTCGTCAGATCGCCACTTGCTGGCGCTGATTGAGGACGCAGATGCCCGTCTCAAAGCTGAAGATCCAAGCAGTCCGAGCTGTCGAAACCGTTTGACTGGGACTGGCAGCTTTGCGAAGAGTAGGGATAGCCCAGGGTCCGAGTGTGGGAGCAGCAGTTGCGATGGCGACGCCGTCGAAGTCCTGGAGGAGTTGTCCCAGATACGATTTGTGCTGGACTGCAGCACCGACCTTTTCGACATCTCAGAAGCACATCTGCATTTCGACCGCATGACAAGCCAACCGACATTGAAACTTGGCATGCCTACTTTAAAGAGATTCGTCCGTCCTTCAGACTGGCCTGCGCTGAAGACGAACCTGCGCCAGTATGCCAGTGCAGCTTCTGAAGGAAGATGCCCAGCGCCACAAGCACTTCCGCCAGTGATGATCCAAGTGCCCGGCGAGTGCCACAAATACTTGTGTGCCCGCCAGGTGTCGGTCAGACCACTCTACTCAGGTTTCCGGCCTCCGGGAGGGCCGACCTACCTACACGTGACCCTGAACAACTTCCACAACACGCCAAGACAGATGCAAGCTCGTTTCATGGGTGATGTGCATGAGGACCCCTCGGAAGAACTTTCAGAAAGTCAGGAAAGCTGGGACGAACATGATCGCCGATTGTACAGGCTGCTTACGAACGGCGTTGTAACTTCGTAGATGATCGATAATGTCTGCGCAGGTTAAAGCTTTCAAGTGTCCCCGCAAGCATTCACGCAATTTTCGCGCACTTGAATCTAGTTTCACTGCCTAAGTCACAGGACTTCGCAGCTGTGACAAACCCAACAAACCATGACGACAAAGGGCAAAACCGAGAGCGCATGCTTTGCTATCCGCCTGCGCTCTGCTTCAGGAACGTGGGACTCTTTTAACTCTAGAATTTCTGGTGACCCCCCCATTTACAGACAAGAGCCTTACTCCTTCCCCATGGAGGATACCCATCTGGGTACGCTTTCGGGCTCATGGTGGCATACTACTGGCAGCGCATTGGCTCGGCGCTCGGTTTGATCTTAAAGTTGGAAGTTGGGGGGGGGGGGGGGGGGGGGGTGGGCTTTCGACGCTGTTGACACTGGTACTGGGGGGGGGGGGGGGGGGGGTGGGCTTTCGACGCTGTTGACACTGGTACTGGCTGACGTTGTTTTCTTTCGGTCATGATGATGATGATGATGATGGTGGTGGTGGTGATGGTGGTGGTGGTGGTGGTGGTGACTGTTTTTGTATTAGTATTACTACTATTCTTATACTTGCTATTATGAGATGATGATCATGATGATGATGATGATGATGCCTTTGCAAGAGGCGGAATATGTGCTCCGCTCGAATATGTCGACAGCCGAGCCAGCCGAGCCACCACAGTCCCAGAACGTTGTGTTTTCGTCAAGAGTTGCATCTCCTCAGGGTGCGAGCGGCTCATGACATTTCCGTCACAGAAGGGGTCTGCTTCTCACCATTTCTCACCCTTTCTGTGCCAAGCTTGGAATGGCAGACAACTCACGTCGCACGTTGGGTGCAGTTTCAGGTTGGCACAGGCACATCGGCGGGAGACCGTTAACCCTTTGTGGTGTGGACTGTGCTTTGTCATCAATGCTGCAATGCTGCAGCAAGTGTCACGCAACCATGGCTCGCTGCTAAGTGTTGCAAAGCTTGATGCGCAGCCGAACGGTCTGCCTGACCCATTTGGCTTCGTGTTTTGTCGCCCCTGCACTAGTCACTAGTCGCTAGTCCAACGCAGAGAACAGCCCGCGCAGCGTGCGCAGCAGCAGGAACCACCAAGAGACCTGCAACCTAGCAATTCTGTAGATGCTGCGGCCCGGCTTCATGTGAAGGAGAATACCTTGAGCGGTGCGTTTGCTGTCATGGGTTCTAGGTCAAGGCGGGGTGTCTGTATGAGCACTTCTCGGCCTCTCTAAAATAGCGGCCTGTGCAACTCGATGTGGCCCTTTTGTACATATGTATATTTCTATACATATATATATATACATGCACATATATATATGACCCTTTTGTATATTTGTATATTTCTATATTTACATGTACATGTACATATATATATCTATATATATATGGCACCCTCATAAAAAGGACCCACAACAAGGGACCCCCTCAAAAAAGACCCCAATTCAGAGGACGACCCCCCAAAGTAGTGGATGCGCTGAGGCCTGCTGGGCCCCGCGCAGCCTAAGGGGGCGGAGGCATTGTCAGCCTTTGGCCCTGTGAGCACGGAGCACCATGCGGAGGAGGAGGAGGGGTACTAATTCCCTTCTTGATTCTTGATATTATAAAGCGTTCATACTTAATTAATACTCGTATTAATGTTAGTATTAAAGCAGCGAAGGGAACTCCATAAGGGCATAAGGGATTGACTCATTCCGATTGAAGCCTCTCAGTCGCATTCGCACTGCACAGTCGAGCTTGCAGTGGTGGGAGGCGCAGTCAGGCGAGCCGTGCATCTGGAGTGCGGGCAGCACGTCTGGGTGGGAGAGGGGGAGAGTAGCCTCGGGGACAACTTGGCAACTTGGTGGGGGCTGCGGCTTGGAGGACATGGTTCGCAAAACGTGCACTGGCGATGACGACCGCGCCGCCATCGCTGGCGTTCTGTCGGGCGTCTTCTCGCCGCAGGCTAAGTCTTCCTGGTCTAGACACAAAGCACAACCTGCAAACCCCTAAACTCCCTGAGCCCTCAAGTTGCACTGAAGTTGGAGTTTACGATGTTAAGGACCCCAATAAGGTACCCCTTATATCGTTCAACCGCCAAGTGACGAGGTTCTATGCTTCATACTTCGACTGGAGCCAGGCGAAGGGTACGTGCAGAAGATGAGCCTGCCTAGTAAGCATGAGCCAGGCTTCTTGCAAGCTTAAACACCCTCATCCCTAAACCCTAAACCCTAAACCCTAAACCCCTCCATTTACCGACATGCAGTTCTATGGGTTAATGCGCGTAGGGTTTGGGGGGGACCAAGTTTAGGGTTCAGGGACCAAGTTGAGGGGTCATTGCTAATGAGCTAGTGGCGTTGCCCCTAAACCCTAAACCCTAAACCCTAAACCCTAAACCCTAAACCCTAAACCCTAAACCCTAAACCCAGGGGAAGCCCTGGCGCAGGAAGCTGTTTCGGTTCATCGGGGCCTTCCGGGCAGCCATCCACCCGGAGCAAAGCCTTCGCTGGCGCTGCTCAGGGTCGGCGCCTCGGTTCCCTGTTGGTTAGTAGGGAATGGGGGAATGAGGTACCCAAAAGAATCCCTTACAGGGTAGATCTAGGCCCCTAATTCCCAATATAATCCCATAAAGGTTATATGTAGGGCCCTCATTCCCTCATCCCCGACTAACCAACGGTAAGCTCGGTTCAGTCTGTGTAGTGCCTGGAGGCCTACGGGCAGGTTTTGGTGGTTTACGGAATTAGGGGGTACCTTATTGGGGTCCTTCTTATACGGGATCCTGCCATTAGCACAAGGGAGAACATCCAATCGTTACCTGCTTTACACCCTAAACCCCAAACCCCAAACCCTAAACCCTAAGCCCTCTTTGCTCGAGGTGGATGATCCGGTGGAGCCAGGGGTGGACCTAGCCGGGTGTCTGCCTCAGGGTGTTTATCCTGGGGAGCCAGGTGGTGGCTTCCGATACAAAGGTACCTTCTTGGGGTCCTTATTATACGGGAATCCTAGCATTTGGGGGTTTATTTTAGGGCCCCCTATTTTCGCAAGCCCCAGGTGCGTTTGGTTTCCTCGACTTATTTTGGGTGCAGTTAGATTCTTTGCTGCTGATCCTTGCTCTCACTGCTGCCGCTTCTTGGCTCCGACATGCTAGAATTCACATACAGGTCAAGACATCCCAAGAGGCTCCAAGAACTATCATCAATTGCCTTGGGGGCGCGCCTTCGGTAGGCTAACTAGCGCGAAGAATTTTTCCCCTGGTTCTTAGTAGGGAATGAGGGATTGAGGGCGGTATATTCAGCCTTTAAGGGATTATGTAGGGCCCTCATTCCCCCCATTCCCTACGAAGAACCAGCCAGTTAGCACATCGCATCGGCTGGCCATGGGGCTCCTACGCTCAGAGCGGATGCAGCATGGAACCCTTGTGCTGCCAGTTGCCAGAGCACGCGATTTGATCGACCTGCCGCTTGGGTTTAGGGTTTATAGGGCTTAATTCGGGTTTATACTGTAGGGTTTCGGGCATAAGGTGTAGGTTTTATAGGGTTTTGGGTTTAAGGTTTATGGTTTATAGGGTTTAGGGTTTCGGGTTTAGGGCATGCTGGCGAGCGACGGTAGCTGCAAAGGCAATATACTCGTAATGTCCAACACCGGCTCCTGCTGGATCTTGCACCTAGGATCGGCGCGCGCTGCAAGATCCAGGTTGAGGACTGCTGCTGGCCTCGGTTCTCTGTGTGTGTGTGTGTGTGTGCGTATGTGCGCACGTGATCGATGCCTGACGTGCCTGGACTGCATCATGCAATGTCGAGCAGCTCAATGCGAGGACATGAATCTCAGGAGCCTGCGCAGGCCCTACAAGAGCCATATCCAAAGAATAGATGAAATGGCACCTTGGCTTTTCAGCGGTTGCCTGTGGCTTCTTACTGCGGAAGTTGCGTCATTTAGACACAAGGAGCGCAAACTACGCTTCGTCGAGGAAGAATTGCGGCAAATCGCAGGCCCTTCTGCGCGGTTTGTGCGTTTCTCCACCGAGTCTGACTTCCTCTTTGATAAGGGTAGCAGGGCAGTAGATTCTTTGCGCATGAGATGCTACAAACGACGTCCTGCTAGCTGCCGTGGGGCAGAGGTGCTCGGATGAGCAAGATGGGCATCGACTCTTTCCTGGAGCATGCCCATGAGTACAAGCTGGAACATGTCGAGGTGAACATTGCGCAGGTGTTCACCTCTTTTTCCAGCATGAAGAGCAGTAGCCCCTAGACCTGCAAGCCCGGCTATGACGTGCCAAGCTTTAGAGTCGCACGCGCCATTTGCGAGCCATACTTTCCCCCCTAGGGTGCCGCCGTGACCTCGAATGGCCACCCTAGCAATGGGGTCTAGACCTGCGCGGTCCGCGCACCTTCAATCACATCGCCGTCTGTCGCCGCGTCATTTATGTCGAGGGTAAGCTTTCTATTCAAGTCCTCAACCCACATATACATGGTAAGGTCTAGAGAATGGATTTCCCTACGCCCGACTCCCTGCATCGCGGGAGGGAAAAGGGGCCCCGCTACTTGGAGGCTCATGGGTACTTAGACATAACCCCAATTGTAATTATAAGTCCCCCAAGTCCTCTAAGTAGGGTATAAGTAGACTTCCAATTGGGGGTATAAGTACCTCCATGCACCCTAAACCCCAAACCAAAAACCCTAATTTGCGAGTCTAAGCGCCCATGGAACCCGAAGGGTCCATGTACCGAAATAGGGAATACTGGAATACTTGGGCCTTCAAGTACCTCCTATTTTGGGACTTTAGGGCCCAAGAACAGAATAATGAGGTAAATGAGAACCCTAATAGGAGAACCTCCAAGCAGGACAAGCCCTTCCGAAACCACGTCGAGGTGCGGAGTTGATTCGGCGGCGGAACAAGGCTCTGGAAGAGAGCCATGTGATGAAAGTGGCTGCTTGGCTTAGACTTAGGGTTTAGGGTTTCGGGTTTAGGGTTTAGGGTCCCAAACCCTAAGCCATATCCTAGTAGAGTATGTAACCTTTAACCTTTTTGGGCTAATCGAATCCCCTTAGAATCCCAAAGGTTAACCTTTAGTTCCCCCAGGTTACTGGACAACTAAGATATTTTTTGGGGGGTTGGAACCCTAAACCCGAAACCCTCAACCCTATACCCTACACCCTAAACCCTAAACCCTTATGGGCTCTTTGGGTGCCCGAAACTATGAGAGGTATGTCCAACAGTCAGAGGCCAGAACGAAACGCTTCCTTGCAAGGTTCAAACAAAAGGGCAAAAAGGGATTAGTGCCAAGTGGCGTGGCAAGCCCGTTGCAAAAGGGTTTAGGGCCAGCATCTGCAAGCTAAATCCGCCAAGTTTCTCCTGGTTTTTCCTCAAGATTAGGAGCCCCCCCCCCCCCCCCCCAGTCGAGCCAAAGAGGGGCGGATGTACTTTGTGGCCCTCTTTGGCACCGGAAGCCATGAGGACTCTACTCTTAATGGGTACCCAAAACAGACCACGAGAGAATCTCTTTGCCTCTCTAAGCCTGAAGAGAATCCAACTCCCCGGGTTCCCTGGCACTGCAGAATGCCCAACTCTCGTTGAACCAGCCGGCGCCAGGCCGCAGCGCAAATTGCGCCTGCCATGGCACAGGAACGTGGAAGATCCCTGAGCGAGGACCCAGTCGGAAGCGCTTGACGCATTTCGATGGCTTACGAGTTGCCACCGCGGACGAGATTCAGACCCCCAAGCGAGCCCCCTAAACCCGAAGCCTAAACCCTCAGCTACCCTAAATCCGAAACCTTAAAACCCCCAGCCACCCAAATCCGAAACCTAAACCCTTAACTAGAAAAAGGATTTGGGTGTGGTTTGCCTGCAAAAAGCACATTGGTGAGGAGCATCTTTCCCGCAGGCTCTGCGACGAGTCTCCGAGCTTCTTGGCGCTTCCAGAGCACTAGGTTTTTAGGGCTTATAGGGTTCATGTTTATCGGGTTTACAGGGTCTGTAGGGTTTTTGAGGGTTTGCTGTTTTTCTTTGGCTTTTGGATATCAATTCGGGACGTATAGGGCATTTAGGTTGAAGGGTTTCAGTGACCTCATTGAGTTTCATCGGGTTTACGTTTAGGGTTTCGCGTTGCCCTCTCTTACAAAGGTTGCAGCCTTCTCGGGTGCTGGGATGCGTAGCAACATGGGGATCCAGTAGCCCTAAGAAGGGAAGAGAATATGAGCTTTCATCATATTCTGCGTCTTAAGGACGTCACTAACGTTGACTCGTCGTGTTCATGCCATATGTCTCAAGGACTCACCACATGCTGCGGGGCTCTCGCCACATACTCGTATAGGGCACCAAGATGTCAACGCTTCAAGGTTGCACTTCGCGTCCTGCCTGAAGCTGGAGATAGGACCCAGAACCCCCCTAAACCCTAAACCCTAAACCCTAAACCCTAAACCCTAAACCCCCCAAACCCGAAAACACCCTAAGCTTTACATGCGGGTTGGGACGGCCATCGGAAAAATGGCCTTAGTCGCGACCGAGCAACGCAGCAACAGTCGCACGCCGCACGTAGACACTCGAGGTTGCAGCTGTTACACACCCCAGACTAAGGCTATTTTCAGAATATTCACAAGGGTTGCTATTATGTTTAATGTGCTTGAATAATGGTAAGTATGTCTGCGAACATGAACGCCCATCACACTTGACTGTGGGTTTAGGGTTCAGGGTCCTGCCGTGCTGCTGAAGGTCCAATGCAACAGGACGCCATGTTGGCCGCAGTGGCTGGCGTTCTGCCGGTCGAGGTCCAGGACCACTCTGCCAGTGAATGTTCTTATGGCTGTAATCATTTGTTTGATTTTTACGACTTTTTAATATGTTTAGTCTGTTTCGAATGTTCTTATGGCTGTAATCATTTGTTTGATTTTTACGATTTCTAGTATGTTTAGTCTGTTTTGCTTTGTGGCTGTTAGGTTTTAGATGATTTCAGGTTTCGGAGTGTAGAGTTTGGGGCTTGCAGTCTTCATCGCATGATCCTTCAACTCTTTCCCTAAACTCTAAGCCCTAAACCCTAAGCCTAAACCCTAAACCCTAACCCTAAACCCTAAACCCTAAACCCTAAACCCTAAACCCTAAACCCTAAGCCTAAACCCTAAACCCTAACCCCTAAACCCTAAACCCTAAACCCTAAACCCTAAGTCTAAACTCTCCTTGAAAGGGCATAAGAAGGCCTGGCAGGGTAGAAAGGTGCCGGCAGCTGCTTGGGCCGACGTAGTTTCAACAGCAAATCTTTGAGCCTGCTTGTGGGGGGGGGGGGGGTTAGGGTTTAGGGTTTAGGGGTTTAGGGTTTAGGGTTTAGGGTTTAGGGTTTAGGGTTTAGGGTTTAGGGTTTAGGGTTTAGGGTTTAGGGTTTAGGGTTTAGGGTTTAGGGTTTAGGGTTTAGGGTTTAGGGTTTAGGGCGGGCTTTAATCATTGGACGCCACCTCCAGCTTGCCAAGCTTCTGCAGTTTGGATGGGCTCCCCTACAACCCCGCTCTAAACTACCCTCCCCTAGGTTCCCCCCATAATCAAGGCTACTTTGGGCCCTAAAGTGTCCTTTATTCAGAGTTTAGGGATTGTTAAGCCTAATTAAGGTTATTTTTAAGGGGGGAACCCACGGGTAGTATAGAGGGGGGTAGTAGGGGAGCCCATGAAGTTTGCCCTCCGTGCTGCCAGGACCGCTTCGCGCGGGCGCTGTTTCGAGCAACCAGGGGCACCATGTCTCCAACTCTCACATAGGGGGTCGGAATAATTACCACTAGTATTCCCCTATGGTCCCTTTGTAATTCTGCTATAACAGCACCCAAAGCCCTATTATAACTATTATAACTATTCAGGCCCCTATATTAGGCTGCATGTAATCTGCTCAGGTCATTGCATTGAGACAGTAGAACGACTACCCATTTCTGCCCTTCCCTTCGAGTGAGGACGCGCTGACCAGAGATCCAAATCCCACAAAAGTGCAGGATTCGGGCTGAAAGTTTGCAGGGGATCACCCCAGAAGAATATGTAGTGAGAGCCCTCCCTGAATACAACCCCTTTTGAACACCTGTGCAACAAAGGAGAAGATCCTATCAAGTCTTTGCCCGCACCTCTTGCATGCTTCATGAGTCTGCCAGCCCCGGCCAACTTGAAGTCACCCCCCAAACTTGCCCAAAGAACTCAGAGGTCTGGGGCTTAGGGTTTCACTCCTCTCGTGGCTTTCAAAGGTACTTGTCCCAGAACTTCATGGCTTAGAAACGTACTTGTTTCAGAAAAAAAGCCCTAACCCTTGAACCCTAAACCCCAATTCAGGGGACTTCCGAGGAAACGTTTTCACGCACTTCCAGCCGATTGCGGAGCCGGTGCCTGATGAGGCTGGGGGTCCGCCAATTGCGAAGTCAGTGCCGCGGCTTGATCAGGGTTTAGGGTTTAGGGTTTCGGGTTTAGGGTTTAGGGTTTTAGGGGTCTAGGGCTCGCGGGTACAGGGTTGAAGCACTCTAGGGGTGGGGTGTAGGTGCAGGGTTTAAGCACTCGGGGGGGGGGGGGGGGGATTAAGAGAATCAGTGGCCCCTGCATTGTCCCTTTTGAAGTCGCTTGTGCCAGTTATGGTTTGCTGGGATCCCTTGCTTCGCTTGCGCATCATACCCCTAAGGTTGTACCCCTGAAGGTTCCCCTTAAACAAATTAATAAAGGGGCCCCAAAACTTAAGGGTACAGCCTTAAGGATCCCAGGTAGAACCCCTAGAGCTCAGGTGTTCGTCACCTACTTCCAAGATGCTGCGGAAGGGAGATCCGCAACGGCCATGCGAGAGAGGATCGGCAAGATCTGCGACTCGGGCCATGCTTTGGAACTCCGGGGCTTGCGCCCCGAAGCCTGAACACAACCCCGGAAAATGAAGGGTTTAGGGTTGGGGGTTTAGGGTTTGTTTAGCACAAAGAGGTAAGTTAGATTTCCCGGGGTGCGTATTTAACAGGTTGTTTGATTTCGGGCCGGGCATGGGATGGGTTTAGGGTTGGGGGTTTAGGGTTTAGGGTTTAGGGTTTGGGGTTCATCCCTATAAAAGGACCCGCATACTGGGAAGCCAATAAAGGAGAGCCTGAAAGAGACCCTCTTGGGTGGGCTCGCGGGGAGTTGGTTGGGAATGGGGGCACGCCAACCCTAACCCCAAACCCCAAACCCCAAACCCCAAACCCCAAACCCCAAACCCCGACCCCGAACCCGAACCCCGAACCCTAAACCCTAAACCCTAAACCCTAAACCCTAAACCCTAAACCCTAAACCCTAAACCCTAACCCCAAACCCCAAACCCTAAACCCTAAACCCTAAGTGTCGGAGAGCTCCAGGCTCCAGCTTCGCCGTGGCCCTCTACGCCTGGCCACGCAGCAGTGCGGCCGCAGAACAGCAGCTCTGGCGGCTGCAGGAGCAGATTCAGGCGGGGAGAGTTTAGGGTTTAGGGTTTAGGGTTGAGGGTTTAGGGTTTTAGGGTTGAGGATTTTAGGGTGCAGTCGCATTCCCGTCTTAGGCAGTTGCATAGCTCGGATTCCAAAAAAAGGGTTTAGGGTTTGGGCTTTGGGGTTTGGGCAGGTGTGGCAGTTAGTTTATTGCGAGGCCTCTCCTTCACCTTAAGCGGCGACCCTAAACCCTAAACCCTAAACCCTAAACCCTAAACCCTAAACCCTAAACCCTAAACCCTAAACCCTAAACCCTAAACCCTAAACCCTAAACACTAAAACCCTAAACCCTAAACCCTAAACCCTAAACCCTAAACCCTAAACCCTAAACCCTAAACCCTAAACCCTAAACCCTAAACCCTAAACCCTAACCAACTTCAGCTGGACTCGGCCCCGAAAGTCGGGTTGGGCTGCTCGGCACAAAGAGTTGTGGGCCTTCAGACCACGAGCAGGGCCCTTATTCCCCTTTCTTTTAGGGTTTGGGTTCCCTTGTACGCGCCCTTAACCAAAAAAGAAGTACAAGCCTAGAAAGGGTTAAAGGGACATAAGGAGGGGCCCTTTTCAGAAACCTTTGGGGGTAATGTGGGGCATGCTTCGGTAGAAACTGTGTTTTTTTAACTGCTGTCCCTCCTTATATCCCTTAAGTGTGGGAAGCCGAAGGGCTTATAGGTTAAAGTTTGTAGGTTACAGCCCCCTAAAGATTGCACCCAGCCTAGGCGGCCCAGTCGACCTCGCATCCCGAAACCCAAAACCCTAAACTTAGGTCTTCGCATTCAGGATCCTTTTCTGAGGGTCATGGCCTCTTGCAGCAAAAAACTGAAACCCTAAACCCTAAACCCTAAACCCTAAACCCTAAACCCTAAACCCTAAACCCTAAACCCTAAACCCTAAACCCTAAACCCTAAACCCTATCAAGATGCTCGCGCGGGGGTCCGTGCTTCGATCGAAGCCCTAGATGGGCCCCTAAGCGCCTAAACAGTGGAAAGCTCCGCACTTAGGGTTTAGGGTTTTGGGTTTTGGGTTTAGGGTAAAAACTCATCCAACATCTAGAGATGCCATCCTTAAACTAAGTCGGGTTTGCGGCTTTGGGCTGGTGTTTCGGGCCTAGGGCTTGCGCACAGGTGTGTTTCTGAGGGTTTAAAGAGCCTCTGCCCTTAAATCTTGCACTTAACTACCCTAAACCCTGAACCTGCTTTTGGCAACCCTAAACCCTAAACCCTAAACCCTAAACCCTAAACTCCAAACCGTCAGACCGGTTCGGGAGGATCAGGAGCGACTTCTGCAGGAGCACGACAGCTTTCTGCGGGATGAGGTGCCTCAACCGTTTCGGGTTCAGGGTTTAGGGTTTAGGGTTTAGGGTTTAGGGTTTAGGGTTCAGGGTTTAGGGTTTAGGGTTTAGGGTTTAGGGTTTAGGGAAAAACCCTAAACCCTCAACCCATGCTTTGGGTGTTGGGTTTAGTAGAGTTCACGCTCGGGCATAAGGAACGCCTGAGATGGTGTCCCTAAACCCTAAACCCTAAACCCTAAACCCTAAACCCTAAACCCTAAACCCTGAGACGGGGCCCTTGGAGTTTCTGGGTGTTGTCTGGCTTCGGAAGGATGCCCCGGTCGAAAGCCTTCGCGGGTTTAGGGCTTAGGGCTTAGGGTTTGGGGTTTAGGGTTTGGGGTTTGGGGTTTAGGGTTTAGGGTCCTTGCCTGTTTATGGAAAGTGGGTTCTCCCGACCATCTGTCCTGTTGCCAGCGTCTGAAGGTGCAGCAAAGTTTGCGGTGGATAGACCCGAAACCCGAACCCTAAACCCCTGCAACTTCCGAACCCCAATACCCAAATACCCGAAAGCTTGCAAGACATGCCAAGACTTGATAATCTAAGACCTAGTAAACAAGAACTAAACTTACCTTACAACATCCTGAAGCCTTAACACGCTTTGTGAGGCCAGGGGCCTGCTCGAGCCGGCCCGCCAGGGCAGCAGCTCACTTCTGGAAGAGCCTTTTGCCGGCCCAAGGTTTAGGGTTTGCCTTCAGTTGCAGGCATTGCCCCACATGCCAAAGGGATACTGTTGGAGTTTGCGCAGCCACATGGGGATTATCTGAACTTGTTTTTTGCCCTTAGTCTTGCTGCTGCCGGTGCGTGTGTGCGTGTTTGGCACGGCCACTCCACACCCCAAGCCCTGTGTCCGAGCCACTGCCCCCGGCGTAGTACCCTTGTGAGGGATCACAGCGGCAAGAGCTTCTGTTCCTGTGATGTGGGGCTGTCTTGCTAAATCCGAGCACCTGTTTTTTAATACCCCCACATTTAAAGAATTTGTTTTCGTCGAGAAGCCCGCCGGAAGACTACTTTCCATTCTGGGGGCTTTCGTATGGGCCAATACCACCACATTCAAGTAAATTCTTCTCGTTTGGGGGGGGGGGCGGGGTATTCTTTGTGAGCTGCAGTTTGCTTTGGTGAATCTACACATCTTCAAAGTGAAAGCTTTAAAGAAGCCGAAGCTGTATTTTTCTAGCAGCTGAGGCCCTTCAGAAAGCTAAGATTTCTTATGTGATTGCTTACTGGAGGAGAGAAGTTTTCATTCTTTCCTGAGCTACCCCTTATGTGCTCTGCCCGGCAAAGACAGCATCACATATATAAAAGGGGGCCACAATTATGGCAGGCCCTGGCGAGGAGCCCTATTGTTTTCAATACATTCCTATTGTTTTTGATAGAGAATCAATACATTGCTGCCCTGGTCTTCTTATTGCGGCGCTCTGCCTTTCTTATTGCGGTGGGGGGGGGGCCAATTAAACAGGTGCTCGGATTAAGGGAATCGAACCCTTACCCCATGGAGGTTCGGGTGGGGTGATTTTTTTCGGCTCGGATTGAGGGGCTCGGAGCGCCGAAGAGATGCCGGGAGGGGACGTTTCCTTTGGCCGGGGTGCATCCCAGGCCGTCCACTCACTGATTCACTCACTCAACTCACTCACACACTCGCTCACGGTTGAAGGCTTACTTAAGGAAAGCAGCCAGCCAGTGGTCGACGAGTCCCCTGTTTTTTGGGTTGCGAACAGGAGCAAGCACGCGGCACTCAGACAGTCTCGTGAGCGACGGGCGCACATGGATAGCCTACCTGTAAGACTAGTCGTTTCGAGGTGGAGTCCCTTCTCCAGGTCTTTCGGTTAAGGGCAGAGTACGAAGATCCTGCTTGTACTGATAGCCGAACACAACCCTAAACCCTAAATCCTAAAACAAAATCTTGTAGTAGACCTCAGGTGGCGGCTGTTCTGTGCAAAGGAGAAGGCCATCTATGCCATCTTGAACTGCTTCGAGGGAGCTCTGGGCGTTAGGTTTGGGTTTAGGGTTGAGGGTTTAGGGTGTATAGGGTTTAGGGTTTAGGTTTTAGGGGCTTCTTGCGATCCCTTATCGGGGCGACAGGGCCGAAAAGGTGACCTGAATGAAAGACGGAAGTCTGCGTGCTGAATTCAGTATGAAGATCGAGTGGCGGGCATCCGAGGAAACAACAGCCTGCGGGCCAGCTGTTGGTATGCATCCAGAGAGGAAGACAGTATCCGATCTGTCCTTATGCAGCTGATCTTGCTCTAGCTCCGATTTTGTCACAAGCTGTAGGGAGTTATTTGGATGTATTTATTTGCATCGTTCACAGAGACACTGCGTTGCGCTTGTTGCGTGAGGACTGGTCCGACGCCCACTATCGACTTCACAAGTGCCAGCGCCATGCTGATTCCTGACAGAGGCCACACAGGTAAGGCAGCCCCTACATACAACAAGACCAATGCCCTAACTGCCATATTCCAAGATCTCGTCGACACGTACGGCGTACCACGCTACCGAGAAGCCAACCCTGCACTACTCACCGTTGTTACCTTCCCATTCCTGTTCGGAGTGATGTATGGTGATGTCGGACATGGGTTGATGTTGCTATCGGCGGCATCATGGATATTCTACTCGGATGCTGCCCACAGATTCCCAGATCTTTTCCGAGCGAGATACCTGGTTCTGCTCATGGGGTTTTTCTCTGTGTACTGTGGCACCTGGAAGGCATCCAGCAAGTTTTTGGCTTTCCGCTGTCCCAGCTGATGGGTGCCGGCACAAGAAACAGGGGTAGCGGAAGAGGGAGCGAGGAGGCAGAGAGAGAGAGAGGGACAGACTCAGTCGCGCAAGTATCACGCTGACCTGGTTACCTTCTGGGGGTTCGCGCTCCCCTCAAGCCCCGTAGAAGAAGAAGGGCTGGGCGGTCCCTTCGGGGACTATGTGCAGAGGAAGGAAGGAAGGAAAAGAGGGAGCGAGAAACAAAGAAGTGAGGAACGATAGAACGAAAAAAACACATTCATGCAAACATAGCTAACGAAAACACAGAAGCATAAGCACCGTGGAAGCAAAGAAAAGAACAGAGAAGTTGTCTCCACTCTTAGCTACAGCATGGAGGAAGAGCCCGGACAGGGCTCGGCGATTTTGGGGGGAATCTGCCTAAACCCTAAACCCTAAACCCCAAACCCTAAACCCTAAACCCTTGGGAGCCAAAGTCAGAAAGAAGCAGAAACAAGAGCGGCACCACACGACGGTTTCGGGGGACAGGGGTGCTTCCGAGCCCACGGCTTCCCGTCATTATAGGGGCCTAGTGGGCCTTGGGTTTAGGGTTTAGGGGAAAGGGTTTAGGGTTTAGGGTTCAAAAGGCAGTTGGGAGGGGTGTTCGGGAACCTTGCCCCCGTGAACCCCCCTCCCTTAAGGACCCTGCCTAAAACTTCAGGTCTCTTGTACAACGATTTCTTCAGCGTGGGCCTGTGCTTGTTTGAGTCTCGCTGGTGGACGCCGGAGGGAAGGCCAAAACCCTAAGCCTAAACCTTAGACCCCAAAGGCCCTGAACCCGAAACCCTAAACTCTAGACTCTAAACCCATCACTCCCGCATCTGCACCTCCGCATGGGATTGCCTTGAATCCTAAATACGTGGGGCAGCATTGGGGGTCTTTATTTTTAAGGGCACCCCTGAACATGCCATCATATACCTGCGACTACGGGTTTCGGGTTTGTAGGGTTCAGGGTTGAGGGTTTAGGGCCAGCGAATCCTTACATCATGGCCATGACATGTGAGAGCGCCAGTGGACTGACGAGGCCTGGAACGGAGGTTAAGTCGGAGCCCTTGTTCGACACCCGGAACATGGGTGGCACCGGTCCGTATCCTTTCGGAGTGGATCCGGCCTGGCATGGGGCACAGATGCTTGGGTGCAAAGGGCAGTTCAAGTGCATTCCTCACTTGTGCAGCCCTCCAAGACTTCAAGACTTCAAGACCTTAAGCCGGGAGGAAGGATGTTCGTACGGCAACCCCAAGCCATCCAAGGAATGAGCTGGTTTACATGAACTCACTGAAGATGAAGGTGTCAGTGCTGCTCGGCGTGGCGCAAATGATGGCAGGCTTATTTCTGCGCATGGGCAACGCGCTGCACAATCGATGCAAGATGGACTTCCTCTGCGAGTGCTTGCCCATGATGCTCTTCATGCTCGGCACCATGGATGCAGAATGATGGTTCGATGAAGGGCGTGCCAGGTTCAGAGGAACAAGCTTAACAACGGAGAAGAAGGCTTGGGGAACTTCAAGGTTGCCGTCCCAGCATAGGAATCTATTTACAGGCTTTAGGGTTTAGGGTTTCAGGTTTCGTGCAAAAGTCCCTTGAACTCTCTCTTGTGGTTCTGTGAACAAAGAAGGTCTGTAGGGGAAGGGGGGGTGCGCCTCTGCTCACACTGAGTTTCTGCCATGCTAAGGGGGTAGGGCCTTGGGACATCTTGTATATTCCCTTATTGGGTTTCAGAGGAGAATCTTCAGGTATACATTTCAGAGGGTCTTAAGGGTCTTCCCTCATTGGGTTTAAGAGGAGAATCTTCAGGAATACTTTCAGAGGGTCTTAAGGGTCTTCCCAGAATGTCACAGCAAGGGCTTTTTGGCTATATGGACTACATGATCTTGTACAAGTGGGTGACGCCGATGGACCCCGCCCCAAGCATCATCAACTCCATGATTGCCATGGCCTCCTTCGCCGATGATCCGAACGGCATGTTCAGTGAGGCATGGCCTACTGTGTACCGTGTGTTTTTGATGTCAATTCTTCTGCGCGATGGGATGAGCTGTGTTCGCTGCAGGCGATATCCCACAGGTTGATGATGATCTGTCTTCTCGCTATTCCGGCCATGCTGCCCCCTGGATCTGCAGGTGGTTGAGTGGCACATGTCTGCAGCACCCTGTGTTTGTCACTGCCATTTCTTTAAGGATCCCAAAGCCTATCTACCAATGCAGCTTGGATATATGCCAAGGGTTCCATGTGCCTTACATGCCGAAACTGTGACTGCCTGAGGGCTCAAGCACAGACAGCGGCAAGAAGCGGCGGAGGAGCCCCAACAGCCGTTCTGACATTTTGTCTGCACATCTGAGCATCCTCAAACCTGAACTCTACTCTGCGACACCTCTAGCTGCCCTAAGAGTGCGCTAACAGCGTGTCCCAGCAAGAGTCGTCCAACTGCAGGCTTCAGGGCCTGCAGGTTTTAGGGCCTTTAGGTTCAGGGTCGTCTCACAGGAAGGTCCAAGCCCTAGGGAGAACAGCTAACACTCTTGCTTGGAGGTTCATGGTGCTTATTAACCATGTATAACTGTACTTGTAGCCGTACTTGTAACCATATTAGGGCACTTAAGGGGCCTATAGGTGGAACAACAGGAAAATCAGAAACTGGACCGCGAATCAGAAACTGCGCATCAGAAACTGCGCATCAGAAACCAGCCACGCATCTGACACTCCGCATCAGAAACTGGCGCGCATCAGCAACTGCGCATCAGAAACTGCGCGCATCAGCAACTGCGCATCAGAAACCACTGCGCATCAGAAACCAGCACGAATCAGAAACTGCGCATCAGAAACCACCGCGAATCAGAACTGCAAACATGCGCATCAGAAACCCACGCGAATCAGAAACTGCGAGTCAGGTACTGCGCGTCTGAAACCCGCGCGAATCAGAAACTGCTTTTTCAGAAACCGGGTGGGCGGGGGGGTGGGGGGGGGGGGGGGAGTCGCGCCCATGTCAGTGCTTTTCCAACGGGGGACGGAAACCGGGTGGGGGGGGGGGGGGGGGGGGGGTGGGGGGGTCGCGTGCAGGCGGCCAGCCCATGTCAGAAACTGCTTTTAAGAAACGGGGTGGGGATGTCAGAAACTGCTTTTCAGAAACGGGGGGGGGGGGGGCAGTCGCGTGCAGGCGGCCAGCCGATGTCAGAAACTGCTTTTCAGAAACGGGGTGGGGGGGGGGGGGGGCAGTCGCCCAGCCCATGTCAGAAATTGCTTTTCAGAAACGGGGTGGGGGGGGGGGCAGTCGCGTGCAGGCGGCCAGCCCATGTCTTCCGAATCAGGCGTTCACCAGTTTCCGAATCAGATGTTTGCCAGTTTCCGAATCAGCCGTTCACCAGTTTCCGAATCAGCCGTTTGCCAGTTTCCGAATCAGCCGTTCACCAGTTTCCGAATCAGCCGTTCGCTAGTTTCTGAAACATCTTTTTCCTGGTTTCCGAATTTCCCGTTTTCAGTTTCTGATTCAGCCGTCTGGGTTTCTGATTCAGCCGCCCTGGTTTCTGATTCAAGCTTGGTTTCTGATTTTCCCGTTTCGGTTTCTGATTCAGGTCTGGTTTCTGATTCAACCGTTCTGGTTTCTGATTCAACCATTCTGGTTTCCGAAAATTCCGTCGACCTGGATGCCTTTAGGTGGGCCAGAAGTACAGTTATTATTGGTTAACAAGCACCATGAACCTCCGAGTGCGCCCTTTTGGACCGGCCGTGCTGGGTAGGGGTCTGGGTTGTTTCAGCCTGGGGAGCTCGTGCTTTCTGGACCCGACCTGTTTCCCTGCTGCCGGGTCGCTGGGCAGCTACTTCGGCGGGCGGCAAACCCATCCTTCACCCTCAAGCCATGTAAACTCGGAAAAACAAGCCATTAAACCCCCCAAAACCCTAAACCCTTCATCCTTGAGCCATTAAAGTCCCGGAAAATGGCACCAATCCGGGCAGGAACAGTGCCGACGACCGGCCTTTGAGCTGCATCTAGGGCGAGTGCTGTGGCACCCCTGCCCCCCCAAATCCTAAATCCTGAACCCTGAACCCTGTTTAGGGTTTAGGGTTTAGGGTTTAGGGTTTAGGGTTTCCCCGATGTGCTTGGATTGGAATGGGGGTGCCCTTTACCCTGTTTTGGTTCTGGGTTCCCTTAAAGTTGACTTCATTGCTTGGGTCCCATCAGAAAGCAGGGGGTGCGTCGACTCAGCAGCCGAAAACCGCCCCGAAGCCCTGCACCCTTTTGACCTTGTACACCCCACGCCCTAAACCCTAATATTATTATTTCCATTATTATTGTGTTTTTTTGTATTTTTGTATTTTCATTTTATAAAAGCATATATATATATATATTAGGAAATGACCTTTCTCGACTATGACTATCGTTATTATTCTCATTATACATATATATATATATATATACATATGTATATAATTCTCCTTATACATATATATACATATGTATATATAGCCTTTCTCGAACCCAAGGCCGGTCTTCTGATCCTTGGCTCGCAAAGCCCTGCGCGGCACCTGAGGCTTTGGGCTGGTGGGTTTGGGGGTTTCTCGGGCTTCAGGGTTAAGGGTTTAGGGTTTAGGGTTTAGGGTTTAGGGTTTAGGGCCGTTTAGGGTTCAAGTCTTCGGCTTGCGTTCTACTTTACGTGAAAAGCCCCCCACTGAAGGTTTCGAGTTCGAAGTCGATTGCACTTGGGTGTCATAGTCGCGCCCTGCACCCTGCTGAAAACACTTAGGAGAGCGAAACCCTCAATGCTCTCAGGTCTTCATGGATTCGTGGGCATAAGAAAATCAGCAACTTTGCTCATTGTACCTGCTAGTGGGCCAGTGGCTGCTAGTGACTGCCAGTGTCACTCGACCCTGACCTCATGCCCACCGCCAGGCCTAGATGCTAACGTCAACAAGCGCGCAACATGTGTCATGAGAACACGGCCTTGAACGTGCTAGTTGAATTGTCAACAACGTGTCTGTGCATGGCACTTTTCCCGGAGGCTACGAGATGTTGAGCAGCAGTCCTTGGATTCGGCTGCTCGGCACAGAAGGGCCAACAAAGCACGCGCGCTCAGGCAGAATCCGCCTGAAAGATGTCCTGGCACAGTGCCTGTTGTCCCTCGTATGATGCACAGGTGGAGGACGACAAGTTTGACTTCTCTGAGTGCCTGGTGCATCAGGTCGGGATCCATCCAGGCCTTGTGTTGTGGTATCCACAAACGCCTCACAGCCGTAGAGCAGGTGATCGAGACCATTGAGTTCGTTCTTGGGTCGGTGTCGCACACGGCCTCATACCTCCGACTGTGGGTGGCTCGGCGATGTAGCTTACAACTGTCGTCCAGTTTCTCTCGTGCGCATCCAGATCAGATGGTTACTAACAGTCCTTAATAGGGATTATTGTAATTATTAGTTCTCTTAAGGGCTGTTAGTATGCGGGGGAACATCCCAACATAGTTGGGATAGAAGCTTGGGCTTTTGGGTCCGCTTCTCCCACACCTGCAGGCACTTTCACTTGCACATCAGCAACTTGGTAGCCCAATGGTACCCTTTACCCTTTTTTGTTGGTTATGGGTTCCCTCATAGAAATGACCAAGCCCAAAAAAGGGTGCCCTTACTATAATATGGTTGCTGGGCTACCAAGGCAACTCTCCCTCGTCTTCTTCAATCTCATTCTTCGTTCTGGTATGGCGATGCCTCCGCCGCTGAACATCCCCGCAGCTTGGAATCCGACTCGAGATTCAGATGCTTAAAGCTTCGCTGCCTCAGGATTCACCGTGAGTTTAATGAAGTGACCAAGATTTCGATCGCAGGGGGTTCACGGGCCAGACTCCGGAGCTTTGGGAAGCTCTTCTTTACATGTTAAACTCATGTTAAACCCCAGAAGACCCTTGTCTTCTTGAGGCCACGTACTTTTGCTTCGCTCTCTGGTTCTGCGTTACGCTGGCAATCCTGGGCGGCATGGACGTTATGGACCCGCCTGTGTGGGGTTTTGAGTTTATAGGGCTTGGTTCCGAGTTCAAAAGGGTTTAGGACTCATAATCGGCTTATATGACGGCTCAGCATTTCCGGGCTAGCAGGCTTCAAGCGCCTAGAGGCTCCAGATATATCTAGTGTAGAGGGTTTTCTGACGTTCTGCACCCGAAGGAATGCTTCCTGCACACCCTCCGGCTGCATTGGGTGGAGTTCCAAAGCAAGTTCTACAAAGCAGATGGACATGCTTTTCAGCCCTTCCAGCACCGAAGCATCCTTGTGCAATGCCTGCATGACTGAGCATTCCGCGCGGCCATGCAAGCTTTGATCCGATTTGCTCCTTCCTCGGATTGTTGGGAGGATATTCATATGCACAGTTCTTTAGCCAAAGTTAGAGGACATGGTGTCGTGCGCTGGAACTTGTCCGGCCCCGGTCCACCCCAAGCCCGTACCTCAACCCTAAACCATAAGAAAGCTTGTTCTCAGAGGAGCGGGGAATGTACAGCTTCCCGCCAATCCTCCGTTGAACCGTCGACCAGATGCCAGTTCTGCGAAACGTAAGCGTTGTGACATCTCGCGTTCGCTTGGTCGAAAAGCTGCGCCCAACCCTCTAGGTCTGCAAGAGGAAGATGAAAATCAAAAACCCTAACAATCCCTAGACCCTAAACCCTGACCTGCGCCTAGCTCACCTACGGAAAAAGGCGTCCTGCACCGGCCTTGAGCTTAAGTTTTAGGGTTTACAAATCCTTTGGTGACAGGTCCTTTGGTAGGAAGTTCAAGCCAGCCAGTTCACAAAGCCAGTATGGTTTAGGGTTAGGGTTCCTACAAAAAAAGAGGGTTTAGGAACCCAGAGCCCAGACCCTCCAAACCTCACGACCTGAGCCTAAGCATTTGGAGCCTGAGGCCTTACCTGAACCCCTTCCGCAACTGCCGCCTGCGCGCCGAATTTCGGCGGGCGGATCGCTGCCTCCGGTTGAGCCCAAACCGAGGTCCGGGTAAGTCGGATGCAGGTCGATTTTGGTAGTCAGCCCCCCCAACACTACAGAGAAAAACAGGTGCTGGAAGCTATTGAAGCGTTGCGTACTTCAACTTCACACACACACACATAGCATCCAATGTAGTCTCATATTCCTCTGACATTCTGACACCCGCCCCCAACTCAGAATACTTCTAAGCACGTTATATATACCTAAACCGACCCTAAACCCTAACCCCTACACCCTTTTCCAAAGCACCATGACCCCGGATTGACGTCAGGCGCGTGGGAGGCCGTCTTCCGGTCGCGTCGATGCTGAGGGCCAGCGCAGGTGCTTCTTGGGCTTAGCGCAGAGGGTGTAGGGTCCGAAGCCCTAAAACGCAGTATGCAAAACATGGCTTAAAGCATCAAGGGGCTTAAGGATGTCGTTTTAGGGTTCGGGGCAGGACGCCTGCTTGCGCTTCTAAGTCGTGGGCCCCCTACTTAGACAAAAGGGGACCATCTTTGTGAGCCCCTCCCAACCAAGCGCTAGAGGCCAGGGGCTTGTAGATTGGCTGCTGCTTGTGGGAGAGAATCGCTGGATCTTGAACCTGCTTGAGTCCGATGTTGGAGAGTCGGTGCCCTTTAAACCTTTCCAATCTCTTCTTGCACGAAGTACGCGACCGCGCCAGGCCAACTCCCAGTGTGAGGCGCAGTTGCAAAGCCTTCGCCTGGAAAGACACGTGCCGATGTGATTGCACGTTCGATTGTTATGGTCGTGTAGAAATCGCGTTTGTATTATTATGCTTGTGGTCCTTTTCAGCATCTTACACCGTCCTGAGGAAACCTTGCATCCTAACAGATAACAATAATCGTGCTATGAGACACCGCGTCGAGAGCCTGCCGATCTCCTAGGGCTTAGCTGCATTCCGCTGCCTTTTCCTGAGCTGTTCCTCTTCGGTGTTGCGGTTTGGTGTTTTGGGTTTAGGGTTTTGGGTTTGACTTGAGCCCAGTGATAACAGGGTTTGGGGCTTCAATCGTTCAACCCCAGCCTACCAAGCGCGCCTGACACTTCCTGCCAGAGTTTTCCCGATTGCCAATACACACCCGGGGCAAGTCCAGAAAGCCTTCGTTGGCCTTGTCTGAGAACCCTTATCAACCCAACGCCCTCAAGACAAAAACTCTCTTTGCCCTACCTAGAACCCTAAACCCTAAACCCTAAACTCTAAACCCTAAACCCTAAACTCTAAACCCTAAACCCTAAACCCTAAACCCTAAACCCCAACCTCAGGCATCCCACCAGTCTGGCACAGCCCCCCCCCCCCCCCCCCCAGGTCTTCACGAGCGGTTCAGCCAGCAGACGGCCCAGACCGAAGGCCGATCCGCCAGTGCAGGAGTTTAGTTTAGGGTTTCGGGATTAGGGTTTCGGGTTTAGGGCTTAGGGTTTAGGGTTTAGGGTTTAGAGCCCAGTTTCAAAAAGGGGTTTAGGGTTTAGGGTTTAGAGTTTCAAGGGTCTAGCGGCTTGGTGTGTAGGGGGTTAGGGGGTTTTGACGGCAGTGCTGACAGTGATCTGGCTGCTTCGCCCCCCGCAGCCCAGATGGAAAAGAAGGTGGGTTTACTAGGACCCAGAGTAGGCCCTTAAACCCCTTTTTTGGGGGGTTTTGGGGTTTGGGGTTTAGGGCATCTGGCAGTCAGCGAGTCCAGCTTCAAAGAAGGGCCTGCTAGGACACAGAGCAGGCCCTTTTTCCGTTTTTGTAGGGTTTCGGCTCTCTTCTATGCCCTTTAGACACAAAAGGCCACCCGGCCACCCTTTGTATTCCTAGATTACTCTTGGGCCTCGTTAAGGTTTGGGGTACAACTTACATGAAGCTCCAGAATCTGAAAGCTCTGAGCTCCTCTTCTTGTGGAGGTCAGCTGCAAGAGCTCACGGAGGCAGTCTCTTGCAACAAGGGGAAGAAGGGAAAGAATCGGGAACTTCAGAGGTCACCTGAGTTACCTCATTCTTCACTTAGGGGGCTCAAGAGCCCTGATCTCCGGCTTCATGCTTGTCTTGCGATAAGTTCTGAAAAGCTGGTTGCTCCGGAAGGCTCTCAGCAGACAGCCCAACCGGTGTTCGAAATTCAGGTTGAGAATTTACGGTTGTGGGTTTCGAAAGCAGCACTACCACCATGTTGGGCCGACCGAAGACGGAGCCTGTTGTGAGCCCACCCTAGACCCTAAACCCCAAACCCTAAACAGTCTCCTGGAAGACCCCGCCTATAAGCAGAGGCCCAGGAAAGGCTTCACCAGCGCATCCTCGCGAGCGCCCCTGCCCCAGAAGCAACAGGTTTTCAGGGTTTTGGTTTTGGGTTCAGGGGGCTTCAGGAGCAGTTCATGAGTTTCGACCTGGGGTTGAGGGACGTCTACGGTTACGTGTTGGAGGGTTCCGGGCCCACAAATCAAGCTCTTGGGAGCCTCAACCCTAGACTCTATAAACCCTAAGCCCTGAACCCCAAACAGCTGTCCAGGCCTCGCAAGCATCGCAAGACCGCGTCGAGGCCGAAGAACGCGGCCTGCCTAGCAATTGGCACTGAGTGGGCTGAGGGTTTAGGGTTTAGGGTTTAAGGTTTAGGGTTCCTGGTTGAGGACGTAAGGTCGGGGGCCTTTGGTGAGGGTTTAGGGTTTGGGCTCTAGGGCCTAGGGCAGTGAAGAGGCTGTCTTTGAGCCTTAGAAGCCCTCCGTATCATCGCATGGGGTTCGGAGTCAAGCCTTACGCACCCAGGTCAGTGCACCCCCAGGGGAAGACACCAAAGAGCCCCTCCGTAGCTTCCCCTCCTATATCCCCCTTGGGAAATATTGTTTATTTTTGTTTATATAAAACCCAAGAGCATGTTAAACATATTCTTTTTGTTAAGGTTCCAAGGGGAGTATAGCCTCACCCCCCGCCTGAGTTCTGCCAAATAAACACACCTCTCGGCCGGTGAGGTTTCCAGAGCCAGGCTGGGTGCTTGTGTGCATTGGTGTTTAGGGTTTAGGGTTTAGGGAGTGCAGCAGTCCTAGCCGTAAAGGGTTTAGGGTTTAGGGTTTAGGGTTGCTGTTGTGCTTTACATGGAAGACTCGTGCAGCCGAAGGGGGATTGGGGCTCAGTGGGCTTGCACTTCGGCTGCCAAAACGCGCTCGCGCGCGCGATCCTTGTAGTTTCATGTGTCCAGACTGACGCCCTCCATGCCTCAGGTGTTATGTCAGAGGCTTCAGCCGAGATAATGGTTCTTGTCGGGACTCTGTAGTCAGGGTTCATGTCGGGTGTAGCAACCCCATAAGCCCTGCAAGCCCTATACATCCCTATAAACCCTGTAAACCCTGTGAACGCTAACCCCCTGTGAATCCCCCTAAACCCTAAACCCTAAAGCCCTACAGCCTGTGAATCCTAAACTCTAAACCCTATCCCTAAACCCTAAACCCTGACGGACTTAAGCTGTTCCAAGCTTCGCAGGCAGACGAGCTGGAGAAGCGAACTGCCCAGCTGTACTTTGCACTGAAGCAGTCGGAGCGCCAGGAGGCCGTAGAGGGTTGGGCCTTTCGGGGTTTTGTGTGTGTAGAGCTTAGAGCCGAGGGTTTAGGGTTCAAAGGGTCAAAGGGTTTAGGGGGGCAGTGAAGGCATGAAGCAGCTTCCAGGTTCAAAGAAAGGGGCAGTTTAGGGTTTAGGATGGACAAAGTCATGGTTGAAACCAGGTGAGGGTCGTGCTCTTTCTGCCATTATATCTGGCTGGTACTCGTAGCAACCAGGAGAACCTGTGATTTACTTGACGTTGGAACAAGGATTGTGGGGCCAGATGGGTTGAACAAAATGAGCGCAACCACATGTACAGACTTCATGACAGCTTGCAGCGTACCTCGAGTCGGTACATTGTGTGACCTGCAAAGGCGGGAAAAAGTCTGTCAGGTGTTGCGGCTCTTAGAAACGGCCTATCGTGGCCGGCAGTACGCCCAGTAGGCTTAAGAATCACGCCTGCCTTCATGTACACCGTGTGAAAAGGCCTCGGTCTAGCTGTGTTGGAGGGGCTTGCCGTGCAACCCTGAACCCCAAAAGCTTACCCAGACCTCCTCCCCATGTTGTGTTCTTCGGGGTGCCACTTCTTAACATGAGGCACCCTTGAAAAGAAACTGCACGAAGCGCAACAGAGGCACAGCTTGAAGCGACGATTGCCATTCGCGATGTCGGCACCTAAGTTCCCTTTCCACCCAAGTCCCCCTAAACCCTAAACCCTAAACCCTAATCCCTACAACAAATTCAAGGCCCAGGCTTGAGAATTTGAAACCCGAGGCTTCCCTATCAGCGACCGCGGCATTGGGTGTGCCACTTAGG